ATTTTTTGCTTTCTGTGCACCATTGGTTCTGTTCCTACAAAGCAATTATTCTTGTGCATTTATCAGCTATGTTTGAGAAAGTTAAACTTAGGTAAGGTCCTACGCAGTTTTACGCTGTCCTCAAAACTGCATTTACCTAATTGTGCTTTATAACATGTGCATGTTCCTACACGCATCGAACAAGCCACTCTTTGTATGTGTAGCTGCCTCGTAGTGATTTAAACCTGATGTTTAGAGACCACATGGCTGCCTTTACTGTTCTCGGGGACTATATGGCTCCCCTGAGACATCCTTTAAATTTAACCAACCTATACACACCCTCCGACACTCTTTATCCACACACCTAAAGTTAAGAGATTGGATAGAGTGAATACGTGTTTTCTTTTACCTAATGCTTCACACGGGTGGGGTCAGCTTCTGGAGTAAATTAGCACACGTCAGACAACTTGACAGCCAGTTTAGCATGTTTTTCTACATCAAACACAATCCCAGTTTTAGAACGTTTGTTCTAAAACAGTTGCTGAGCGTGTCTCTACTGGTGACCTGACAAGTCCTGATGAAACAGTGACTTTCTGATGCTGGAGTCTTATGATGGAAAGCTAAACAAAGGCAACCAGTGTGATGTAATCTACACACACACACACACTTTTGTTCTCAGCTTTGCAGCACACACACAGTACAGTCCCCCTCCCCATGCTTGACAGACATGGTTGTAGGTGAATATGCCGCGCCGCACTTTTTGCTCAAATAGTGACCCCACCCACCCCCCAAAAAAAGATATTATATATTAAAGAGATTATAAAATGACATTTACTGAGGACAGCATGTACCAAAACATTTTCACTAACCAATAATGCATTGACCTGATTACCAAAGGAGAACCCTGTGGTCAGACCAGTAAACACAGACAAGTTGTGCTATAAACTGGTGGGCCACAACTGGGTCCAGGCACCAGACACCATGCTGGTTTTATTGTAATACTCCTAATAGCCTTCAAATAATGCAGTCTAAAGGGGAAATCTTCTCTATAGCTGAAGAGCTCATCACCTGTGATTTGTGTGGAAGTAATTCAATACGCTGAAAGGGTTTGGAGCACGTGCTCCAGATGGAGAAAACATGAAACAGCCACATGGTTCTGCCTGTTACTTTCTGAGTCGCAGACTGGTGAAGGCTAAAATATTGAACATGATGCAGAAAAATCACTTAACAAACTGTCCTTGAAATTACATAAACATCTCAAGGCCCGAAGTAAACAATACTGAGACCACATCCTGAGCAAATTACTAGTGGAGGGAAAATATTAGAAGATGAAGCTTTTAGTCTCTAACTGGAACCAAAGAAAAAAAGCCCATAACCCATCAACCATGTGACCACATCAAGGTCACTGTGCTGCTGGCTCTGCTGGAGAAACAGCACAACCAAATGTTTTCAGACACTAGGTGGTAATCTAAAAGTAGGTCAAATGAACAGAAATGAGACCTGAAAATGAAAGAGGGAACCTAAAGCCACTAAACACAAACTCGTTATTCTGTCTCATGTGGAGCAGACTGGATAAAACACAAGTTTACTTTTTGTTTTCTAAGGATTACAGTAAGATATTTTAATGGGGAGTCAAGCAATAAAGTTGACTGATTAGCTCAAGTTATGTTTTTTTTTTGTAATTAAAAATCTTTTTTAGATTCTGCAACACGTGTTCTTTACACAAGGCATGTGCATGAAGATAACTAAAGGTTTTAAAAATAATAGTTAAACAGTTAAAATTACCACTTTTGGGGGGTTTTGTGACTCACAGAAAATATCACAAATACAGATATGAGAGACTAGAAGGAGTACACTTTTAGCACTGCTAATCAACTGATTCTTTGCTAATTTACTTTCTGTTGATCTACTAATCAATTAATTGTTTTGGTTATACACAATTGAACTTTACGACTGAAATTAGTTTTACTGCAAATCTAGTGACTCATCTGCTAGTCTTCAAAGTACAAACTCACACACATGCAGACACATTTTAACATAGTTTACACTGTTTAGAGTACAAGCTGGGAGTATTGTGTGTCTCTCCAGGCCTATTTAGGCAATAGCATTTGAACAAACCATTTTAAACAAAGGCCTGAGTTTTTTTGTTTTGTTTGGCACACAACAACACAAACAGAGACAAACACACACACACCCCTGTTGTGCATGAAAAAGAAAAAAAGGACTAAAGAGAAGGGAAACATAAGAGAAAGAGAGAGCAGCTACTCTGTGTTATGATCAATCAACTTAGCAATGACAGATCTCTACTATTCTTAGAAGCTATGTTTAGCTGCTCTCCTGCCTGGCACGCTGTCAAAGGCTGACTTCATTATACATTAAGTTCTCCAGAGAGTTGAACTTCCTGCAGAAATATGACGTATTGCTAACCATGTCTAGCTGGTGTGGTACAAACATAACCTACGCAACAGATTCAGTTATTCTATAACAGCAAATCAATATCCTCCAACAGGAAATTACTACAAAAACTTATGGCGTGGTCCTGTGAGAACCCTGCTCTATGCACAACTTGACTTTTCTACAGGGCATGGACTTTATGTAAAACCCAATGCATGCATCTGCTTTGCATCCTTGTGTGGATTTTCAAATAGAAGACACATACAGGTACTTGAAACTTGAGAATTGAAGTAGGTAGTGTGGGTGTATGTAATTCTGTTTACAGGCAACGGTTTTAAGGTTCTTTCTGGTGCTGTTAAGGTCAACAAAAGCTAAACTTGAACTTGGAAACCATGACAGAGCAAAGTAAGGGTGGGGCCCTACCGGAAAGCCAAGAATAAAAGAAATTCAAACATAAAGAAATGCATAAAATATCAAATAAAAAAAAAAAAGATGCTCCATGAAATATCCATAAGCTAATCTCAATTTAGGGCAGAGCTGGAAGTGTTTCTGTGCATATAAAGTTTGGATTCAGGACAAATGTGTTATAAGCTACCCCAGCCAATAAAAAATGTATGAGATGACTTCATGTTTTGTGGCAAACAGAACTGTTAAAATACTGAAATGGGATGGGCATTCATATAATATTCAGCTAAAAGGAAATATTAAGTAGCATAACAATCCAAAGAGTACATATACAAGGGTGGGAAATTAGTGAAAGAACACAACTAAGTGCCTTCATAGGGTGTTCAGCTAAAAAAAAAAAAAGTGCCTTTGTGCTGTTTCTACAAGTTTCCAGACAACTTCTAAAGGGATTTCCAGAAGATATTCTTCTATAGAGTGTGTTGTACAAGATGCAAAGTCCAAGATCTCCCACAGGTTTTATTGAGATTGAGATCTCCTGACTTACAGTTTGCTAATCAGGGTCAGCTTCAGGGCTGATGGACTGAGTGAGCAACAAACTTTAACACGGGGTATTGGTATGCTCAATTTTTTTTTGCAAGTTTTAAGTGAGATCATGCTTTAACCCTCTCAAGGCAGGCGTTGCCGATTTGCAACAGTTAAAAACTAATAACCTGATTACCCCACATACATATTTTATGAGTTTTTTTTACTCAGAAGTACCACTGCAGGACTTGGTTGTGCATTAACAACAAAAAGTTTAATTTGAGCCTGAGAGGGTTAAAAACAATCTCACAAGCTGATGATGGGCTTTTTTAGTTCCAAAGAGGTATACATAAGGCATCATGGGCCAATGTGCTCCAAAATCAGCATTCTCCTCATCTCTGGTTGGTGCAAATGCTCTTAACTAATATTAACCCAATAATTAACAGAGGCTTGGTTGTTACTACAATAACTTGTAGGCATTCAAGACTATTATTATTATCAAATATCATAATTTACCTGCAGTTGTAAATGTACAGAAAATTTAGCTGAGGAAGTACAGTGACCATTTTGAACCGGCCTTTAGTGTTGTCTCCTGGTGATGAGTGTCATAATGTAACAATCATATTTCCATAAAGTTAAGTATTTTTTAATGAATGTTAGCAGATAAGATGAATCAACTATTCCTCACACATGAAAGAAATGACTATAGCTTTCTGAAAAAAAAAAAAGTTACAGGTCACACTGACTTACACAAAGTCACTTCTTTTAGGATTGATAACAGGAGCTCAGCTTACACCTTTTTAAAAATAGGAACACAATTTGTTTATGAAATAACGTAAATGTTTTGAGCTAAAGAATCAGAAAAAAATGACGGCATTTCCAGGCAGTTAACAAGTCATCAATGACTAACAAAGGAAGAAGGTGGAAAGCACAGTATGCATTTAAGATGAACAAAACTGACTCTACAAAAGACTGTCAAGTGATTAAATGAATCAGCCTAAACAGCAGCTTCCCGCTTCTTTTATTTTAGATGACAAGCTTCAAATACACTGAAGAGCCACTCAGAGTAAACTCACAGTACCCGGAGTCAACACAACACTGGGGAGCAAGCAAGACAAAGAAACCCAAAACTCTAGCTGCACTACGTTTTTGTTGACAGCGACAATTCGTTTACTTTTACTACAAGACATACACCAAGGGGCGTTTTTATTTGTATAACATTATGTTGACGAAAAAAATATTTCTTACGTTTGACACGAGCTTTAATAAGAAGCAGACTGCTGCTCAGCGACAGGCAACGATGATGGTTTGTTTACACCGAGCTAGCGGGCTGGCTAGTCCGCTAACAAGAGCTGACACCTCCGAAAGAAGCCAGATAACTCTTTAAGAAAGCTTCTTTTTCTTTTGACAGCCTCCCAGAGCCACCTATCTACCTCCAAATATGCCAAATATGCTCTCACAAGAATAAAAATGACTTGGAAAAAGAAAGCAAAGCTGTGCTTTCTAGCTGGCTAGCAGACTATGCCGTTGTTTTGACAGCCCAGAATTAGCTGAATAGCAAAGCTGCTAGCTGGCAGGTTACATTCAGGGTGGCGCTAACGTTACGCCAGGAAAGTCCGAGAAGAAATAAAACAGCTCTAAACAAGACAGAACAACAACAATAAGAATTAACAGAAACAAATGAGAATTGTAGTATTCACCTGCTCCGGATGACCTGGTCTGTCCGTGGTCTGGCTATAGATACTACAGCTGACAGAGAGCTGTGGTGGGTACTCTGCTCTCTCCACTATAAGCAGCTCCTCACAGTCTCTGGACCAGACTGGACCCAGAAACGACGGGAGGCAGGCATTCACTGAGTGACGCCACTCGCATGAGCTCGCATGAGCCAATCACATCGCACTTTATGAAAACTCACCAATCAGAGACTATCAGGAACAGAAAGGTACATTCCATAAACGAAGAAGCGTTTTTGTAGTTTTTATTCATAGGCCGAGTTTATAATCGTAAATGATCAAGAATTAAATCACATTATAACCATATTCCGCACTTGAGACGAATATATGTTATAGTTAGTTTTATATAATGTGATCTAGGTATCTGTGCAATACAGTGTTCTTCAATGCCCTAAACCAGCAGTTTATCTTTGCCAAAACTTGTTTGGCAAGCAGCTGCTATGTGGAAATTGAGCAATAACCTGCCAAACCACATTAGCTAAACAATCCAGTGTTCGTGTATTTGGTCTTATCATTAATTAAAATATTGATTAAGCTATCAAGTATTTTTGAGACATCATTTTGTTTATTTTATGAAAGTGTCAGTCTCTGATCTAAAACAAGTACTCAGAAGCTGTTTAAAGTCAAAGAGAGTCAATATGACTTAAGGGGAACAGATTTCTTTAAAAAAACAAAACAAAACAAGATAAGGACAAATATAAAGCAGAGATGTGTTTCTGTTAGAGGAGTTAACCTGTGGAATAGTTATGACAGTGATTTAAAAAGGTGTATTTCGTTTTCCTTGTTTAAAAACATGTTTAAAAATAGAGAAATATATAAGTCAAGAATGAAAAAAGAGCAAAAATAATAATACTGAAACTCTTGATTGTTTTGCTTTGATGTAGTTACTTATCTAAGGTGGAAAGTTTTTTGATTTTGTTTTGTTTGTTTGTTTGTTTTTGCTTTGCTTTGTTTTATTCTTTGCTTCGAGCCCTGTGTACAGGAGCTGCATGCAAAAAGATCTTTTGTTAAAAGGGTTGGCATAATAAGCAAATGCTTCAGCCAATACCTTTTGATTAGCCTTGTCTCGTGCTTTCTTGCTTTGTGGTAATCTTTATTCTGTATTCACTGAGATATTTGAATGCTAATCAATAAATCAATAAATCAAACAAAAACATGTTTACATGCGAGTTTCTTTGGTTTGCTTTTGCAGATTATAGGACTTAAACAGTGTATTACTGATCACAGTTACTAACTACAGGCAAGTTATTATGTTGATATACCAATAAACTGTTCAGTTATTGATTGTCTCTTCTGTTACACCAACTCTCTGCATCTCCAGCATCCATGAATCTTCTCTGTGCTCTTTTTCTTCCTTTTTTTTTTGCCTGTAAGCTTCATATTCAACATCCTTTGTCCAGTATATCCACTATCCTCCTCTGCACATCTCCAAACCATATAAGCCATGCCCCTCTATGCCTCCAAAATGCTCAACCCAAGCTGTTCCTCTGGTATACTCTTTTCTAACCTTGTCCTTCCTGGTCACGCACAATGAAAATCTTAACATTTTCAGTTCCATCTCTTGTCTTTTTGTTAGTGCCATTGTCTCTAAAACATAGCATAGCAAACATGGCAGGTCTCACTACCATCTGACAAACATTTAACTCTTGCTGCCATCCTTCTGTCACAAATCCCTCCTGACACTTGTCTCCACCTGCTTCACCCTGCCTGTATTCACTTCTTCACCTCTATTGTGCACTGTCTGGTATTTAAACTCACCTGTCTTGCATCTTTACTGCTACACCTGTCTCCTTCTCATTCACGCACATGTATTCTGTCTTGCTTCTATTGTATTTCATTTATCTTCTCTCCAGTGCATACCTATACATCCTCGGGCTATCTTCCACCTGCTCCCTCCTCTAACTATAGATCACAGTGTCATCCTAGCCATCATAGTCCACGGAGACTCATGTCTGACCTCATCTGTCAACATGCCCATCACTATGGTATTAATCAAGGTATTTCTTTCTACAGCTATTATAACATGATTGTTAGCAATGTTCACTGACGTGCTGATGAGAATTAGAGGACTGCTCGACTAACTGCTCTCAACGCTCTCTGCCCCGAGTGCTGCAATTGTGGCTGATTCTGTGGAAATGGATTATGCAAGGCTCTGGTAGCTGAGTGTGGGCCAACACGGGGTGGTTCATAGTGTCATTGAACTGCTTAAGCAAGTTCACAGTACCATTTCAATTCAGTTTAGTTCAGGTTTATTTAAATTGCGCCGAATCACAACAGCAGTCACCTCAAGGCGCTTTTTACGATTAGGTAAAGACCCTGCAACAATCCAACAACCTCCTGAGAGCAAGCACTTCACAAAGCTAGCATTTAACAGGAAAAAAACTAAAGCAGAAGCAGGCTCAGAGGTTCTGCTGAAACCACGTGTTTAACAACAGATGTTGTCTTACTTTTAAGAAATAGTATTTGGAAGGAGTGACTTGACTCTGAAAACACTAAAATCTTATATCCACTGCTGCGCTGATACAGATAATCTCTGTGGCAGGCAATGCATGACGTTACCTCAGAACTTTGACCTGATTATATCTGTGTTCTTCTGTTGCAATTGGGATATCTTATCACTAAAGTTTTATCTTCTTTGAATTAGTGCATTGGATTGACTGGACTCTATATAGATTACAAAGAGACAGATAAAACAAGGATGCTGCGTGTTACAAAAATAAGTTAAATAAAAAAAAATTGAGAAAAGAATTGGATTCATTTGCAAAACAAAGAAGTTGGTAATATTGACAGGATCTCATATAACTTGTAAATTATAATTTTATATATCTTTACCGAGGTTTTAGAACTTTTGCTGATGATAAAAAAATGTTTTTAAGCAAATCAGTTTATCTCAGCGACCATCACAGATTTCATATCTTCTCACAAAGGTTTCTTATTTACTTTGCAACTGTAACTGATGTTTCTTCAAATGTCAAGGACTTAGAGCGCATGAGTACATAATGTAATTTTAACCTTGTGTACTGATACCAAAACTGATAATTTTTCTCTTTTTAAAAGCACATGACAAAGTGTGCTCAGTTTCTCTGCTAGGAAATAGAGCAGACAAACTACACAATGGAATTAGTTTTCAGCATCACACTTTAAATGTTTACGTAAAGAAATAAAGCTTGGGAACTGACTTTTTTCTTCCAAATGCTTGATTAGGAAATGATCTAAACATTTGCTTATAAAACACCTTTTCAGCTCCACAGCTCTCTAATGAACTCACAGTCGTGTGGTCATGCAGGATACCGCAATATGTTTGCATAACCTTGATTACTGTTGCACCAGGTTCTCGTTGCTAATCCAGCATTTAAAGCTTTTTTCTTTTTGTTGCTCTGTGTTATTTTGGAGTTTGTGGCCATTTGAATGATCTGTTGGTTCTGTAACAAGTGGAGAAACACAGAAGACTTGCCTGCTTTATTAAAGTCAGGAAGATAGTTTTACTTGACTAAATAATGAAATAATGAAATAATGATTAAATGTTTCATAAACATCTGAGCATTTACAAGTCTAATCTGTGCACAGTAAACTTGATCATGTAAAAGTAGAAAATTAAGAAATGCCGGGGAGAAACTGACTTGATTTCTCTCAAATAAGTCATTGTTTACATCACATTATACGTAACTTTCCATTAGCTATCAGTGCAGAATTTAATGGGCGTGCGTTACAGTGCTTCTTCAACTGTTGCTGGGATCCAGGTATTCACAACATGACATAACACACCTGTACACACCTAAACCAGATTCACACCTGTGTTTGAGATTGTGTGTTCTTTGCTGAGGTAAGTGTCACTCAGAGTCATTTTCTTTTGGATCACACTGCCAACTACAGTTAAAATTGTTAAAAATTATCTTCAAGAGAACAGCATATTAAAATTGCAAATTGGGTGACTGTTAGTGATAGAAATGTTTATCTGTAATTAAGGATAAACTCATCTCCACAGGTTCAAATAAAGCAATAGAAAGTTTTATTTTAGCAAGCTTCCTTGAACACCCACTTTAAACAATGCAAGATCACCTCTATGGAAAAACAGGCATTAAAGAAGCAGTCACCCCCCCCCTCCCCCCCAATATGGTCACGTGTCCTCGCAGGGTTTTACAGAGGAATAGAACACCTGATGTTAACTGTGTAACACCCACCACACCTATTAAGGTTACCGCACCTCTCATTCTCTCCTTCACAGGCCAGGGCAAGTTTTAATTACTAACTAACGTAGCTTTCAGTTAAGCAAAGTTGCCAAGCCAGACAAGAAGACTATGCATTGCTAATTGTTTTGTTCCTTAGGTGTAGTTTGCTAGATCTGAATACTGAGTCTGTTTTGGCATAACACTTGAAAAGGCCCTGAATAATTAACAAGACTGGCTTAACTAGATGTTAGTATATTCTTGTGACGCCTGGTTGCTTTATGTTTGGCGTCACTCTTCATTAATAAACATGTTGGTTTCTTACATCTTTCCTCATTGTGCAGTGTTTTTTTTTTAACCTGAATAAGCATTTTGTGTAATTACAAACTGTGCGATAAACGTCAATAAGGGCGAAAGAAGTTGTTGCTGTATTGATGTGGGAACTGACCATACATGGTTTTTCCACATCTACAGAAGATTAGATATTCTGGTTCATTGGGACTCAGTGATCCGTTCTGCTGCGGCCAAATCCTGCAGAAAGCATATGGTTGAATGAGCTTATGGATAAGTGTCTGAGCATCTTTGGTTAACTTGGTCTTTGAGCTCCGAAAAAGACACAAAAAGAGCAGCCGACTCAGAAACAGGCTTTTGAGTTACTGTGCGCATGTGTGTGTGTCTGAAAAAGTGGGCTTGTGTATCTCCTTCAGTTCAGCTAATCCAGATCAGAGAGTTTGCATATAGATCTCTTTAACCACAACAGCTGCTGGATAATCTATAAACACCACGTGTGACATCCCCATGTGTAGTTTGCTTCTGGCATAATGTACAGCCTCAGTAAAATGATGAAAAGCAGCTTTGTCTTGATGCTAAATACAGTAACTAAAATAAAATGCAGTTGAATACCAATGACATTATAACACT